ACAAACCTTGTTCCATTAGCTAAAAGTCCAATGCCCATAAAGATACTAAAAGATTAGTAATCGTTCATAAACATTTACAAATGATGAATAGTTTCAACTTTAGATTGGCTACTGCAAAAACATGAACAGATAATTAATAAGTGATTATTAAAGATGTGTGAATAGGGTAAATTCAGGTCTTTCGGGACACTTTTTGCCATTGAGATGACTGTTCATAAAGGTATTAATGATTAGTAAACCTTTATAAACATTTGCACATGATGAATAGTTTCCACTTTAGTTTGGGTACTGCAAAAACAAATTAATAAATTATTTGTTAGGATGTGTAAATAGAGGTCTACATAACAAACAAAGACCAACAGTCAGTGAACTGAACGTTTACTGACATTTATAAGCATTTCAATTTACATTAAATAATCATATGTTAATCATTAGGTAATGTTGAGTAAGTTCATTAGTAAACATTAACAAAAACATTATCTCATATTTCTAGCTATGTGAATATACATTAACTAATGATCTGTTACGCATTATATAATGTTTGTTCATGATTAAGTAATTAAAGTTATTATAAAGTGTTACCGGGGTGTGTAACTTTTTCTAATGCTTTTGAAAGTAGTCTTTTATGCTCACTAAGGTTGTATTTATTTGATCAAAAATATAGTAAAACCAGTAATATTGTGGAAATATTATTATAATTTAATATAACTGTTTTCTATTTGAATATATTTTAAAATGTAATTTATTCCTGTGATACAAAGCTGAATTTTCAGCATCATTACTCAAGACTTCAGTGTCACATGATCCTCCAGAAATCATTCTATTATGCTGATTTGCTGCTCAAGAAATATTTCTTATTATCATCAATGTTGAAAACAGTTGTGCTGCTTAATATTTTTGTGGAAACTATGAATCAGTGTTTTTCAGGATTCAATGATGACTAGAAATATCAAAAGCAATGCATTTATTAGAAAAACAATTCAGTGTCACTTTTCATCAATTTAATGCATCCTTGCTGAATAAAAGTATTTTTTAATGAAATCTTACTGACCCACACGTTTGAATGGTAGTGCATATCAAAAATAAATAAGCTACTGCAAATAAAATAAAATAAACAAACAAGCAAACAAACAGTAACTTTCAACACACTTTTATGAGTAAATATAAAAATACATTATTAATGCTTGGGTTTCTAAGGGTTAACTCCCTTTAAAATAAAATTTTCTTGCATATGTCAAAGTTTGACACCCTGCATGGACTCACAGGTAATAATAACTGAAGCATGTCCAATACCAGAACAAGAGCCCTGAAGAGTGTGTGTCCATGCTTTGTCATGGCCCAGTAACATTTCTGCCACACGCACAACACATACACACACACACACTTCCTCAAGCAGGCCTCACCTGACCAGCACCTCCACACCTGTCTGCTCTAATCAGTGCTGTGTGACAGATACGCACCGCTGTGTGTGCGTGCATGCATGTGTGACAGGTAGACAGTGCCGTCACTTCATAAACACATGTTCTTTACGACACGCTTCACCTCTCTCCAATCCCTCTGTCTGTCTTGTCCTCTCACTCCCAAAATGCCTCCCTGGCTGTGATGCGATGAAAGCTGACAGTGGATTTCACATTGATCTCCACACATAAGCGTGGATCACGAGGCTTTGATGGGTGCCGCAATCAGCCTTATCATTGCGTTCTTTGACCTCTCTCACTCCTGTTTCCCCTCAAACTCTCCTACTATATCAGCAATTTTACACAGTTTGGATCTTTGATAAAGCCGTAGACATTTTTGTGGTACATGAATGCCAATTGGACCCTTATAGACCAAAAGTGGCAGAACTCATTGGGCTGCGGGCAAGAGCTAGAATCGAGTGAGTTGACACCCGGCTTCCAGCTCATTAGGTGGGCTGCAGCTTGAATCTCAAGGGAAGCGTGTCAACAGTGACAACCTGGTGGTTTTGTTCCATTACAGAAAGTGCATGAAGGTAAAATACAAGTGTTGTGGGGTCTATATTTGTAGGTTTTATGCAATGTAAAGTGTAGATATTGCTTATAAAATAACAGGTGCAAACATACACAGAGGAAAATGAAAGGGCTGCATGCACAAAAACTCGCTGCCATGATGCAGGGGCTTGCCAGGTCATTACTATGTGGCTGCTAAGTTGTTCTGGATTTTATTGTTACATGCATACACTGAATACTTAGTTCAAATACCTGCACTAAGTATAACAGCCGTATTGTTAACATGTAATAGCGTCCTTGTATTTTGGAATAAATATTGAAACAGAAATGCAAGATGTATGTGTGTGTGTTTCTGTACTCGTACAATGACACCCTCAAGTCTGCCTGTGTATTTTAAAGAGGACACACTTCTGTGTGACTGTATTAGCATACCAATAGAGCTCCTGTGCTGTGGAGTGGAGGAGAAAAATTGAATTGGAAGGACAAGGAAGATCAGTGCTGTCGGCTGGAAGCAACTTCATTGGATCAGAAATGTGTGTGAGTGTGTGTATATTTAATAGACGGCTACCTGTGTGAGCTGGCATGAATGCACTGATTATGTAGAGCAGCCTCACCTGGACAAGTAAAAATGTGAAGCAAGTGCATACACACAACTCACACACATATCTGTGGCCAAATACTCTTGAATAAAAAAAGGAAAAAAAAAGATGGCAAAAATTTCTGTCATCAACACACCTTCACCTTAGCTCTCCTTCACTACACTGCATGTTCTTTTTGCTTCTATAAAACCACAAGTGCAGAAAAGTTTTCAAAACTTTCAAAAAAGCTCTGTCAAGCAAAATTAAAGTTTGTCTTGACAAACTTCACTGTCCTATTTAAAAATGCCAGCTATATGAAATCATGCTGGCAACCTCAATTCAAATGCAAATCAAATTTAGAAAATGAACTTGAAAAAGCATAGGAATCTAAAAGGTATTTTTAATTCAATTCTTACTCAACTTGCACAACACAACTCTTGTAGTGAAATGTCTTTGTCACCAGAAGTCCATCAGTTTCAAGCTGAATTTGTGCAAGACTATATGTGAACATGTATGCATCCTAATATCAAAGAATGAAAACAAGGAATTAAGGAAAAGAGAATGAGGGAGAGTCAGAGGAGAGAGGAGACACAGAAGAGCCCCTCTGGATTTACCCCACTGTGTCATCAATGACAATCAGACAATCGCTCCTTCATCACATAACCCTCACCTGGATCTCTCTCTCTCTCTTGCACACACACACACACACACACACACACACACACACGCACACACACACACACACACACACAAAGTGACTTCCTTCACCTGGATCACAGTCTTCCCTACTTCCTAGGGCTCTCTCATCTGCTCCTGTCATCTCATTATCTGTCACTTTTATCAGATCAAGAGTGTCTCTGTCTATCTGAGTGCCGCTCCACATGCCGCCCTACTGCGTTCATAATTACGCCTGAAAATTGTTCCCACCTATAGCCTTTGTCTTCTCTCCTGCTCTTTGCCATCGTTCTGCGGTGGAAATGTAACAATCTCAATTATCATTACAACTAACAACTTCACCCCCTCATAAATCATATCAAATCATCCCAGTCTCTCCCTATTTCTGCTCAGGAAATGTGACAATATCACACTCTCATTTTGACTCTTTTTAGGTTTCTGCATTGACTGTTAAGAGTACTTAAGTTCTGTCTATCCACTCTATCCACTTATTCCTGTCGTCAAAGCTGAATTTTCAGCAGCATTACTCCAGTCTCAGTGTCACATGATGCTTCAAAAAGCATTCTTATGCTCAAGAAACAATTCTTATTACTATTCATGTTGAAAACAGTTGTGCTGCTTACTATATTTGAGGAAACTGATCATTTTTTTCAGGGTTCTTTGATGAATAGAAAGTTCAAGAACTATAAAATTACTTTTTGTAACATTATAATGTAATATAATGTTATTACCGACACTTTTGATCAATTTAATGCATTCTTGCTAAATACATATATTATTTCTAAATAAATTGCAATGATATATATATATATATATATATATATATATATATATATATATATATGTTTCAGTTTTTTTATAGTGTCTCTCTGTACATTTA